GCAGGTACTTGAATAATATTCCGTGGCGATAGCTTGGACTGTTCAGGCTTTTAATTAGGTCTGCTTTAATGAATTTCTTATCTTTAGCAGCAATACGTACAGCTGAACTCCTCAACTGCACTCCATATGGGGAGGTTTTAATTACATTTTCTGACTAAAATCCTCTTGTTCCACGCAGCTGTAATGTTAGAAATAACAAGGACGTTATTAGTCATCTCGCACTTTGTTCCCTCTAATGCTGAAACTTTCCCGCATGAAGTTACGAGAAGAGGCACATATATCACGAGAACATCACAAGAGAGATCATGATGGTGAGGAGGTACGCTGGTGTATTTTTTTCAGCGCGCCGGTAGTCTCAGGGACACACCAGGCATTATCTTGGAGGCGAGGCCGGGGCTGCAGCATTCCCATTATGTCAGAGGGGAGCTGTTTGTTTTTAAGTAGCGTCAGGCACTGAGACAATGCAGGCTTCTCACATGAACTTGCTTACACTACAGTGCTAGTAAATCATGGTTATTGCCCAACGGTTGCGTGTTTTTAATCATCAAAGTGCTTAAAATATTATAATAATGCTTGGCACTTCTCAACTTCAAAGCACGCTGCAAACAGCAATTAGGTCTAATAACCATGCTGTGACAGTGAGACATTGCTATCTCTTGTCTTACAACTGCACGGGGGGTGCTGGCCCCCGACGCGGTTGCATCATCCCACGTGAGACTGGAGATCTACCGCTGAAGGGCTGCGACTTGATAAACTCACCTCCCAACAGGCAAATGCCCCACTGCCAGCAGCGGCAGGGAGGGCTTTGAAGATGCTTTCTGGGCTAGCGGGGAGGGGGCAGGACATTTTCAATTCTCTTTCGGAGCACCTCCTCAAGACCGTAAAACCCGGTCTGATTCACATTTTGTTCCATGAGGGCCTGGAGCAGCTTTTGAAACAGCGTTGGAAAAAGTTTTACCCCGTCTTGGCTTCCTGGCTGGTGTGTTTTCACCACCCAGCAAAGTGTTGTGGAGGCTGGAGAGAATAGTTGTGGACAGCCTGTGTCAACTGTGGGTCATTTTTCCTTTTACAAGCCAAATTTTTGAGTTGAGTCCTTTGCTAAAGCGACGGCTTTGCTGTTCCTTCCTTTTAGTTTGCAACACATAGGGGAGAAAAATTATGCAGGAAGTAATTGCTAGACACATTTAAATACCAGAGACTCATAAACCGGTTAAATGTGAAAACTGATGTTAAAAACCTAGAGCTGATTCTGATTTTATATAGGGTTTTTTTCAGTTCTTTTGGATGTTTGTCAGGTTGGTTGCAACCAGTTGGGATCATTCTTTGGGACAGAGTAATTTCCAGCTTGCATTTTATTAACTGCCGGATCATCTACATAAAACTTTGCACTCTTTGCTGGAGCATTTGCGAGTCTCTGCCTCCCACCTGAGGTGGTGGGAACCCCCTTATCCTGGCACTCGCTACCCTCAAGTGTGCAGGTGTCAGTCAAGAAATGTAAAAGTTATTTGCAACAAGCATGTGTTGTCGCCGTGAGCGCATAAGCTTCGTTTTCTACAGTAAAACAAGGCTCTAAAGAGCACTCGGGGAGGAGAAAGGGCTTCCCTATAAAAGCTAGTGTTACGTGCCTGCGTGCGGGCTGCAGGCTGGGCGGCTTCTGCCCCGTCCCGTGGTCCCCCCGCGCATTCCTGGCCGGCCTGCTGCTCTTCTGGTCGGGTGTGAAACGGAGCCTCTTCCTCCCTACTGCTGAAAACTGGTCTGACGGGGCGGACGTGCCAAGGTGGGTATCCAGCAGGAGGAGGAAAGCAGCACGGTGTTTGTGAAACCCCGCGCTTCTGAACTCTGCGCTAGGCTGCTCATTATAACTGCTCATTATTATTATAATGAGCTATCAGCAAGTTGCATCAAGTTTTGTCAGAAACTCTTGACTTTTTTGGTTCAATATTATGAAAGCAAATAGTAACCCAGGCTTGGCTGCACGCAGTCATTGAAAGGAAAGCCAAGCAGCAGGTTGAGTGTACCGGTGGGCAGGATGATGTTACCTTGTCTCGCTGGCCAGGCGTTTGACTCAGCTGGCTAAAGCAGCATTAGTTTTTTTAACTCATAATCTCTGCCTGCCTGACGATAATAGGTTACAGCTACACAGAACAGGCTGGTGCTGTGCAGGCCCCCGAGTTACTCCAGGGTTTTGAGAGGTGAAACCGCCTTGTCCAGCACATGGAGCTCGGGGCAGGTACCCCAACCTGGAGGCGTTGCGGCCGCCCTGCTGCACGGCTGCCCTGGGGCTGGTACCAGCGCTGCATCTCCTCGGGCTTCCTGTCTTCCTGGCTGCAGCTGCCAGCACTTCCCTCTTGATCGCAGTTTTCACATGATGCCCAGGCACTCGCAAAGTTCAGTGTTTGACAATGTTCGATGCTGTCATTTAGCAAACTCTTCAGGAGGGCAAATGGAACGTATGTTTTTGCCTTTATTTCTAAAATGCAGTATGTAGAAGCCAATATAGTGCAGCCATGGCTATTTGTGTGATAACTTGCTGTTTCTTGTTTATGAGATAATTATCGTACGATCCCCGAATGAAATTCCTCTAAGGTAAAAGGCCTGTCTATCTTATTAATTATTGCTAATAATAGTAATTATCATGCGAGCAAGCTGCTTGCCTGCTTTATGAGTTTAGGCAAGTTGGTTCCCTAATAGGTGGCTTGGTTTTTTCAGCTGTAAAATGGGGAAAATGGTATTTTTCCGCAGTTTTGAAAGGTGTTACTCTGCAAGTGCTGTGTAAAACAGAGATGTTTTTACCAGGTCAGCTGCATGGAAGGGGAGGCCGGCGGTGTGTTTGGCAGGCAGGGGGGCTCGCAGGGGCTCGCGAGGTGTGCGTTGGCTGAGATGTCGGCTCGCAGCTTTGCCGCGCTGGGGCAAGGTGAGGTTGTTCCCTGTCGCGGGGCAATCGGCTGCCAAACGCACCTGATAACATAAGCATCTTTGAGAGCCAGTCCAAAACACCGCTTTTCTCTTGTTTGCTTTGGGTCGTCGGTTTCCCACTCCTTCCCAATCCAGAAAAGCTCTGACCCCCTTGGCTTCTGCCAGTGGTGCTGTGCTAAGGAAACAACAGCAGCAGAATTTGGGGCATTTCAGTCAACCTGAGCACTGGAGGCTCTGCACACTGGCACACACAAAGCGGGATGTACGGGTCCTCGTGCACTTTGTGCGGTGCCTCGGGAGATGCTGACGCCTCCCTGAATTAGGGCGTTCCTTTCCTGCAGAGATCCTTCCAGCAACAGAGTTCAGGATTTGTCCCTAATTATCCCTGCTGCTTCTAGCCATAATGGGGGTGTGGTGAGGGTGATGGCCAGTGCTTCTCCACCTGAAACAAACACCCCGGCACTGCACCGGCAGCGTATGTGAGCAAGGTGGAAGCGCTGCATCAGCACATCCAAGGCAAGTCCCTGTTCTGGGTGTGGCCACCTCATTTCCACCATCTAAAGACAAGTTGTGTATTGAGGCTGGGTCCGGCAGAGCCAACGTGTCCTTTAAAAAGGCCTCTTTCCTTTTCTTCCCTCCCTTCCATTTACCTTTCCTCTACCTTTCACTGGAGAGGCTTAAAAACACCTTGGATAAGCAGGAGGGAAGATCTAGAGATGGTTGCTCCTGCACCAGTCAAGAGAGGCCCCGTGACCCCCGATTGCTGTCCCATCCCCGTGCCTTGTTTCGGTGATGTGTAGGATGCACCAGTTCTACTGAAGAGTCTCCGAGGAGATGGGGCAGTCTCAGTGCAGTGCCCGCGCCAGCCAGCAGGCTCCTGGTCCCCACCAGAGCTACCAGGCAGCTCGAAAGACAAACAAGAGCTGACTCCACCTACCAGCAGTATGGAGACAGCAGCCCGTGAGATCGACAGCCCAAGAATGTGCACACAAAAGAAGCATTTCCCTCGGCCACGACAGTAAAACCACCAGACAACCACATGCAGCATGTGATTTCCCAGAAGCATCAGCCCAGATCCCAACTTCTTTGTGCCACACACTGTTTCCCAGGATCGGATCACAGTGGCAGCATGTAAAAGGCACTTTCAAGCACTGAAAATTAATCATATTTTCCTCAACATTGTTTATGGAAAGCGTGGAGAGCGCTCCGGCCCCTCTGTGCTTGGCCAGCTGGCTCAGCTCGCTGGCCCTCAGAGTCAAACCCTCCGCAAAGGTCGGCGGTGTTTGTGGTGGAGCTGCTACTCTGCCTCGGTAGGAGATGTCCAGGCTCATTCTGTGGAGTAAAAGCTTCGGCAGCGACCTGGGAGGGGTCATCTGCTGACCTGTAAATACAGAGCCTCTTGCCCTCTGCCTTGCTCTGTGTCACTGCTAACGGCAGGCGGTACGCAGCCCGTAGTAGGCACCGTGCCATCCGCTTGCCAAGGCTGCAAATGGCTTGTGAGAGCACCCAAATATTGGGGGGCTTTGGCCAGCGGGACCCTGGCACGGAGTGGAAATGAGGCGAGTCAGGATGAGTGCGGTTTGCCTTCTCCCCCTCTGGTTTTACACGGCTAAGATGGCATTGCTTTCAATGGAGCAGCTCTGGCGTAAGACGGATCTGATCTGCTGTATCTAAAAACTGTTTGGGCTCAGTGTTTTCTGGATTCCTGGTTTTAATCCTTTTTGTTGAGACTTTCTGTGGAGTCTGATGTGCATTTCTTCGCTGTAAAGGGAGCTGTCAGTTAATGATGATCACAGGCTTTGTCAGTAATGTTCCGCAAGCGCTAATGAAATGGTAAATGCTCAAACTTGAAAATGAAATCTCTTGTTTTCAGTGTGATTTTTCTTCCCTTCCCTCTGTCACATGTGCCTTAGTATCGCAGGGAGCTGTGGGTGTAGCTGCTGTGGCATTGATTAATGTATTAATATTTTTAAAGGTGACAGGAACATCCATATGCAGTATCCCTTGTTTGGTCCTTCAGAGACAAACACGCCGCTGATGTTGATTGCAGTGGATGTACGCCTGCTGTGATTTCACCTGCTAAGAAAATTGTCTCAATTTACAAATGAGCCTTTCCCCGCAAAACGATCATTCTTGGGTTTAAATTTCAACTTTTCCAGGAACTGGTATCAGCTGGGTTCCATAACCTGCACTTAGGAGTAACATGTAGTTGATAAGGAATTTGTTAAGGCAGGGTGGAGCCGAGAGCCTAACCCTTACCCGTGTCTCCGGATGGACCCTCCTGGGGGGGAGAGGGGCCCGGAACTGGCTGTGCAGGCAGGCGCAGCAGGGTGTGCTTTTCACTTTGTGTCCTGAGCGACGGGGTTTGGGGACAGAGCACACAATCCTGATGGTACCATATTTTAACAGGGAGAAGACTACGAGGAAAAGCGTTCTACAACGTCAATGGCAAGGTGTACTGTGAAGAAGACTTCCTAGTAAGTAAGATTTTAGGCTTTTTTTGTTGTTGTTTTTAAATCAAATTGTTCTTTTGTATTGGCTTGTTTGCTTTGAGAGACGGTTCAGTCATCCGGGGCCTCCTGCCAGTGCTGGAATTGGGAAGCATTTACCACCAACTCCATAAAGGCAGGATCAGGCCCTTGGTTTGAAGTGGTGGCTATGAAACCAAGTACATAACTGTCCATAAGCCATCACAAAGTGTAAATTATGAGAATAAACACTGGAGCTGCTCGAGCTTGGGACTTGAATTGCAGCCACAAAGCCTCGGCTGCCAAGCTAGAGCTCGAAGTCAAACATCTGGGGAATACCCCCAAGAGGGGAGACGGTTTTGACTGGAGCACGTCATCGCTGTGTACAATGTTGCTTTGTTGCAGGCGCAGTTTTAATCACTGCTCTGCTCCGAGTGATGTGGAGCTGCATTGTGATTAGCTAAAAACTGTTAGCCACGGAGGAGCAACTAATTTTCTCTCCGTGCGCCCAGAGCTTTTATAAACGCTTTACTTTAATAGAGACTGAGTCATGAAAAGAAAAATGAAGCTTGTTGCTGAGCTGTGTGGTTCCAAAAATAAAATATTTGTGCAATTAAGGGTGAAGATTGTGCAGTACACAGAGGATGATTTGATAAGTAGCAGACCATTTATAATTAAGAGGACGGAATGGCTGGGAATTGAAATTAGAGAGGAATGATGTATTTTAGCTTAGAGGATGATGAATTGAAGAATCAGTATGTTGAATTTATAGCACCTTTATTTATTGAAATACCATTCATTTAGGAGCTTGGGTCTTCCAGAACGACTTTCCATTTCTAATGACTATATGGCCATGCTTTTTGCAAAGGAATTATTCAAAGTATATCCCACAACAAAAATGCTACTGGCAGTTCAGAGTGCGCAAATGCATTTCTCATCAACGCAATCCATAAAAATCATGGAAATTCCTAAAATATAAGCCTTCATGTGTTACACCTTTACTCTCAGCCTGCCACAGCTGGAGCCTGTTGAAAAGAGCAAATTGTATTTTGTGCAGAAAGTAAGGTTCTTGTTGCAATTGAAATGTGTTACTGTTTTGCTTGCATTTTGGAGAGAAAATTATTTTTTCTCCCTTGCTTTTTTCAGCTCTTTCTTTTCTGTGTTTCTGCAGAAACAGGGAGAGGGAGAAGAGGTGGAGCGTGAGATGGAAGGGCTGAGATTTTTTGAGATTTTTATTTTGAACTGTGTTGGAATGTACTTTCCCCATGATCTAAACCTTTCATCCAGACTTAATGACATGATTGTTGTTATTAGCTTGTAATTTCAGCCTAAACATGACAATTTTAAACCTAAAAATCTCAATCTTTTGGAGAACATTCAGTTTTCAGGGGGTGGGGGGGAAACCCCTTTAGTTCTTAGACGTGTTCTGTAGTAGGCTTCTGAAGGGAGATACTTGCCATGATTTTTTCCCAAGAAAACTGAGGTTAAGGACCTGATAGGAATAAACTTTCTGCAAGTTAGGGAACTGTTGGAACATTTAAGGCACAGATTTCAAAGCCCAAACCTCCCACAGGTGTGTCTTAGCAGATGCCCAGTAGCACAGAGGGATGGGATAGAGGCAGACCAAGGGACTCGCTGCTGCGTAACTCAGCAAAAGAAATCAAATTCTGATGTCCCTGCCCGTGTTAAGCCAGCTGCTTCTCAGAAAGTGACTTCCTCTTCTCTCAGCTTCCCCTGAGCAAACGTCTTAGCAAGAATAGTAGGAATTGTCTTGTTTCCCTAATAAACTAGAACAACCTTGCCTATTTTAGTGTTCTGTGGACAGAGAAAGCTCAAAGCTTTTCTCAAAGTCAGAGGAAAAGGCTGCAAAGTAGCAATTAAAAAGGACATGATTTTAACTACTTCGTATTCCCAGGTCTTGCTTCTAACCACTTGGAAACCCCAATCCTCTCTAAAAAGAAGTGTTTTCAGTCCAAAGCAGATAGGCAAATGCTTTTTCTGTGTAACTGAGAATTTCGGTCTCTACCACAACTCCAAATCTTAGTGCAGCTTTATATATGGATTCCCTGCTGACAGTATGGTAGTGGGATGTTAGGGAAGTTAAAGATGGCAGGGGGGGTAAAAAAAAAATACTTGCTTGAGGGTGAATTAGGCTGATCTTGCACTCTGTCCTCTGACCACTACCATGCAAGCTTTGCAGGCCAAGAAGAGAGTGCCAGCAGAGCTATAGGAACTGCTATGCATTATAACAGTCTGTGGAGTTGACCCGTAGCCCTGAATCCACAGGTCTTCCACAGAGATGTGCCTCCTCCCTCTCTGCAAGCCTCTGCCCTGTCCTGTAGCAGCCGTGTGAGTACAGGAGCTTCGACCGTTCTTGCACGGGGAGGCCTGCCTCTTAGCCTGGTGCAGCCTTCTTCTGGCCAGTAAATGCAGTCCGAAGCAGGGGGCGTCACATTCTGGTCTCATGCTTGGGTAAGGGCTTAAGAAAAAGATTATTTTAATTTGGGGAGGTAAACAGAGGCAGTCTACCTACATTACAATTTTATTCCTGCTAAAAACATACTGTCGCCCGTTGGTGTCCTTGTTCTTCCTTGGCTTTTATTTGCCTGGGAACTGATCAGGAGAATTAGATGCTCCTGTTGGTATGGGAGCCTGGTCACAGCTCTGTGGAGTTGCAACCCCACAGTTTGTGACCAGGTTATTTCAAGTATGACACAAATGTAACAGGAATTAGCAGAGCAGCTTCAGAAAATTTGGGCAGGAGGTACTGTGCTGTCATGCTGGGGTCATTGGTGAAATCCATGTTAGAACTGAATTGGGGGGGCCTGTGTGTACATGGTTAGGCTTGCAACAGCAGGATGATCTTTCTGCGGATTCCCAGGGACAGATGTGAGGAGTGGATCTTTCATTGCTCACAGCCCTGCCAAAGCAGCAGTGGTCTCAACGAGCCCTTCATTTGCCCTCTCAGCAAGAGTCATGCTGATGGGAAGCAGCTGACTTGCAAATGGAATGCAAAGGCGGAGCAGGGGTGGTAGTGGGCTGAAGCCTCCCTGCTGCCTGCAGGAGAGCCCGTCCCCTTCCCACCCTCGACAGGCAGCACGGGGCAGAGCTGAGGGCTGTAATTCTTGCAGAGCTCTGTCCATCCCCACTGCTGCCTCTTGTGTATCCCATTAATCTGCCGCAGGTGCTCCTTCCCCATCATCCCTGGCATCGTACTGGGGATGTCGTGCAGGCCAGGCACGACGCAGAGGCTGCAGTAGGTCCCGCTTTGGGACTGCAGTAAATAGCACATCAACGATGGGCAGAAGAGCTGAACTGGTTCTTGCTGTGAACCAGTCAATGTAGGAAATTTTAGGGAAGAATGGATATTATTTATTGGTTTCTCCTTACTGTAACTGTTAGGAATCTTTAACATCCTATAGATGTCGGCATTTTAATTCTCCTGCAGTACTGCTGTTTTCGGTGTCAGAACAGCTCCTGCCGGAGCAGAGTCTCCAGAGCTGTGGTTGATGGCTCGTATGCGATACCTGGTTCTTTCACTCCCACTCAGTCAAGACAGATCAGCTCTTTCTCTCTATCAAAGGTGATACATGGAATTCACTGCCATATTACGTGTGGACCTTGAGAAGAGCCATTATCTGATCCTTACAAGTGTTTGGCGCCTGCCGTAAGAGCAGGGCTCGCCCTCCTTGGCTAAACTGGCCCTTTCGAGGTTCAGCCCAGTGCTGGTGCCTGCCGCTCCAGGGCGTGTCGCTTCCACCCCAGAGGCACTTGCACTTCAGCAGTGAAACGCTGTGTGGGTCACATTTTTTAGGAGAGCTCAGTTGTCACTTAAAGCATAGCAAGTGCCAGAGAGCTTTGGCTACCAAGTTGTTTCAAAAAAGTCCACCCGTAAAAGTGTGACATGAGGAGCCGCCAGCGTCAAGCATTCAAAATCGGGCCCTTTCTTTGAAGAGTGCTTTTGATATCTGGACAAAAGGTGTTAGAGAAACGTAGATGTTATCATTCATTATGAGCAATTTCCACTGCGCAGCCATAAAGCTATCCAAAGCGCAGATACACCCATCAAAACCTTTGGCAGTAGCCGCAAGGTACATTCTTCTAGCAAATAGTTTTCCCACATGTTTGTTCTCACTGAGGGCACAGATTATCTTTCTCTGAATCAGGCGGCTTATTTTGCTCATTCTTTCCAGGGAAGAAGTGTTGGAAGTTTTTAGACCCACTTGTAGAGTTGTAGGTGGGAAGCGATGCCACATGCCGCAGTCGTCCTCGCGAGAACGGCGCTGGCCGCCTGTGTGCGGGGTTGCGATTTGATGGGTGAGGGCTGGTAAACCCTTCCCGCCTGGAGGACATGGCGTACCTCTTCCTCCTTTGCAGTCTCCTGCTTCCAGCCCTGATTAGCTGCAGATTCTCTCAGTGCTTAAACCCAAGCCATATTGGCTAAACATAGTGAATGAATCAGATTTGAAAAAAAAAAAAATAATCCACAGATAATTCCACTTCTGCCTAAGCATGGTGTAGAGATTGCCTAATCTATGCAATTCCCAGTAGGAGCACTTCAGTAGCGATATTGCGTGTTACTGAGTGTAAGGAGTAAAAAGAACAAAACCAAACCCCCGAACTTTTCATTGCTTTGCCTTAGCTCCAGGGAAGATCCTGTTACTCTTTTTTCATGCCACCTTAAGGTAGCAAGTCCAGCAATATCCAAGTCTTGCCTCAGCCCTGTTAGGATAGTTATTTCATGAAAAGGAAATAAAACAAATGACAGTTTAATCCTTCCCTGAAAGCTCTTAGGACACAGATGGCTAACTAGCCATAACAGTGACACTGTTCCTGGTGAAGTGAACAAAAAATAAATGCCTTACTGTATAATAAATAATCCCAGTCAGATGTTCTTGTTCCATTTTGTTGATAAATTGCTGCATAATCATGGGTGAAGGAAAAATAGCTCAGTAATTTTAATTTGTCTTTCCTTTTCAATGCTTAAATATCATGGAAAGAAATTTAAA